AGAGGTGACAACTACTTATAACTTATAGGTATAGGGAGTGTCTTGGGTCTTCACCAAATAGGAAATGCAATGATAGTTCTTAAATGTAGTCCTTAGTTATATTAAAGAATATATAATTCTACTCAAATGTCAAAATTATGCATAGTATATAAAAAAATAACTCACAATTTCATTGATACTTTCGGTCTCCCAAATTAATTGTCAAGCTCCACGACTGGATGAACTGGTTGGTGAAGGATGTGGTAGGTCATATTCTTTTTTCTTTTATTTTAATATTAAAAGGTTATTAAAATAAATATAAAAAATACGAAAAAAGGAGGAAATAATCATTTTAACTTTTTCACTAACCATAGGTTCCAATTTTAGTTTAGTCAATTTTAAAAAAAGATACATATAACATACACAACACAGCCTAAAATGATTTTATTGTGATTACACATTTGAAGGATGGCATAATCAAATAAAATCAATTTCACATCAGTATTTTCAAGCGTTAGATTTTTATGAGTAAACAGTGGTAGAAATTTAAACAAAAATTAAGCAAAGCATGCATGTAAACGGTAAATAATAACAATAATAATAATAACTAGAAAGGTTACCCCCGCTACGCGGGGCCAGAAGCTTTCAATGTTGTTTTCGAATTGATAAATATGATAGACATAGAAAGTGCAAGGATGAAAAGTCCGGGCTTTGCCCCGGAAAAAAAATATAAAAGTTTTGACTGCAAGGACCAAAAGTGTGAAAATGGCTAAATAATTAAAGGGGTAGGAATTAACAACTTTTTAGAAAAGGGATCAAAGTTGTCAAACCGTTAAAGTTTTGTGGCCTAACTTTAAATATTAAAAGGTTCCAAAAAAAGTGTAAAAATATTGATTGCAAGGACCAAAAATGTCAAAATGGGTAAAGAATAATGAGCAAAGTTGTCAAAAAACATTCAAATTTAGTATTCCTAACTTCCAACAATAATACAGAGACCAATTCTGCCAAAAAAATGAGAAGTTGAATGGAACACAAACAAAAGGACATGAATAAAATTAATTAAAGAAGTACAGAGACCGGATATGTAAATCAAGGGGCCAAAGCTGGACAAAGTATGCCAACTTTACTATTCCTTTATTCCACAACTTTAATATATATATATAATAATAATAATAAATACGTTAGTACAAGCATATCTCTGACATAGTCCAAGGTTATTTACGTAATTGAGTCCGAAGAAAAAGAATACCCAAGAACCCCTTGACAAGTGGGTTATGCCCGTGAAGTGAATTTAATAAGGTCAGCAATCGGCAAACTCTTTAGACTTTAGAGAGAGAGAATCATAAGAGGTTTTAGACCGAGAAACCGCGTGATAAAGCCAAGGATCTATCTTTGTTCATCATCACACTCAAAATTACCTAACAAATTCAAGGTTTGCTATGCCTTTCTTTCATCTTCCTTAATTTCAATTTCATCACCAACATTTCTTGCCATTCTTCATCAAAAACTTACAATGAGCATAAGGGCTTAATCAATTTTCTCCCTAAATTTCTTCTAAATTCCTCTTCAAGATTTCCCTAAATTTTCAGATAGAACAAGTGAGTATCTTTCCGTTTGATGTTTGATAAAAAATTTATCATTTCCTGGTGTTTATTTCTTATTCTTCTCTCATATGTTTATAAAAGAATGTCACATTGTTGCTGTATATAAAGAATGTACATTCTTCATTCCAAGAAAAGAGTTCCACTTTCATTTTTGTATCTTGAAAATTATTATTATGGGTTTGAACTCTGTCAAATGTATGTCGATTTTGCATTTGGAATGTACCAGTTTTTCCATAAAGAAATTAAAATCTCAAGGTTTGTGCTATGTCAGTTTTCCATTAAGAAATTAAACATTTTTATCTTGTGGGTAGAGTTTATATCTGTAATTTTGCTCTTAATTTTCAGAAAAAGATTCAAATCAGACCATGGAAATTCATAAATAATCTGAAAATTGAAAGCTTTAGGGCTATAAGTTGTATCTTTTTTAAATCTTCTTTAGAATTTACTACACCTGCCGACTTTTCACAGGCCCTTTTTCTTTAACTGTACTTTGGTTGTAATTCGATGGTAATTTTTAGCAGCATATTGTCATTTCTTCCTATTACAACATCTTACTTTTACTTTTTTTTTTTTTCTTATCAATGCATTGTACATTGAAAAAGCTACCCAATTATAGCATCATACTTTCAATTTCTTGCTTATTAAGACATGATACTTAAAACAATTTATTCAATTATATAAGTGAAAATTGCTTTGTATTTGGGTATATTTTTCAAAGTATAATATTGTCATGGAAAGAAATGAAAGTACGTTGCTATTTGTTCCATTTGATACAAATGATATACGTAATTATAAACTCAAACTGTGGATTATGATTCTGCAATGAGATTAGTAGATGGGAAAGTTGAATAGATGAAAAATTAAAGATAGTAGGCTTCTTTATCGTGGGAATCTTCTTTCTATCTTTGCTTTTTTCCTTCCCATCTTACTCACTTTTTATCTTTACACCACTTTAAATCTTTTTTTCTTGGTTACTAAGCTATCAAGATAAAGTTGTATGCTTTTATTGTTCATGATCATCACTCATTATCATATATTCATATTATGAATACAAAGTATAATCAACACAATTTAAAAATTTTCAGATTGAATTAGATGTCATTTCGTAGCATAGTTCGCGATATAAGAGATGGAATTGGGAGCTTATCAAGACGTGGTTTTGAAAGAAGTAAATCACAAAGTTTTGTTCATGAATTGGATAACCACTCGGATATTGTGATCAATAGCCATTGGGAGGGTCTACCACCTGAATTACTTCGTGATGTGATTAAGCGGTTGGAAGCAAGCGAGAGTGTGTGGCCTGCTCGCAAGCATGTGGTTGCCTGTGCAGCGGTTTGTAGGTCGTGGAGGGAAATGTGCAAAGAAATTGTTAGCCCCCCTGAGTCCTCAGGGAAACTTACATTTCCAATCTCTCTAAAGCAGGTAGATTCACAAAACCTCGTTTGTTATACAGGACAGAACAAAACAGGTTGTACTGCATTTGACATTCATTGGACTATGAGACAAAACAGAACGGGTTGTACTGCATATGACATTCATTGGACTCTATGACTGACGTATGACGTCAGTGGGACAAATATTGCAATTTTTTGTCCCACCTCACTCTCGATCTCTCGTTTGTACAAAAGACACGAATCCCCTCAAGAGAGATGGAGTGGTCTCTCTATGACTGTCTTTGATGACGAGGATGAGGAGGGCATTCATGTCTTTTACACTGACAAAAGATCTAGAGTGGTCATTGTCACATCTTGTACCACCTTTTTAGGTGGGACAACAAATTGCAATTTTTGTTCCATTAATTTTAGTTATGGTCCCGCTCCAATGGACACCAAAAGCAGTACAATTTGTTATATCTTGTCTAGTCATGCGTAACAAACATGGCCTAATTATTATATATTTTTCTGTAACTTTTTTTGAACATGTTTGAATTATATCCCATGTTTTGTAACACAATTAAACTATATTACAGCCGGGGCCTCGGGATACCACGATTCAATGCTTCATCAAGAGAGATAAATCTAATTCAACATATTATCTTTATCTTTGCCTCAGCAGTGGTAAGTCTTCACTCTTTATTATAATTACACATTTCTTAATATTTTCGTATATAATTATGTTATTTTCAGTTTTCTTGAAGCTTGTTGACTTGCAATATGGATTTGAAACCTCGGTCCCAAAAAACTTTCAATATATGCGTTTTCTATGATTAAATGTTAAAAATATCCTTCAATAACAACAAAGTTGAGATAATCGTGTTGTGCACAATGAATATTAACTTTTTATAATGATTACATAAAAATTTGTTACATTTGCAGCATTGGTGGTAGAGAACGGGAAATTTCTTTTTTCAGCAAAACGAAGTAGGAAAAGTACATGCACAGAGTACATCATTTCACTGAATGCTGATAACATATCGAGGTCAAACCGTGGATACATTGGAAAAGTGAGGTACACTACACTCCTGTTTTTTTTTTTTTTCCTCCCATTAAATGCTCTTTAAAAAATATAAAAGAAAATAACGACACACTTTGGGAAATGGAAGGAAAAAGTAAACGAGGTTAAATTTGTAACAACATAGGGGTTTAATGGAGCATTCCTCGTTTTCTGTACTTTCTCTATTATATTAATTAAGTCCCCATTAAGTCCATTAAGTAAATAAACAATGTCTTAATTTTGGTTATGATTCCTTTTTCTTATAAATTTTTTTTTTAATTTTCAGATCAAATTTTCTTGGTACAAAGTTCATAATTTATGACTCCCAACCGCCACATAACACCGCCAACGTGGTCCCACCGGGTCGTTTAGGATCAAGCCGCCGTTTTTCTAGAAGGGTTTCACCAAAGGTTCCTTCCGGAAGCTTTAACATAGCTCAAATTATATACGAGCTAAACGTATTGGGGACACGGGGTCCACGTAGGATGAACTGCATAATGCACTCAATCCCCATGTCCGCCATGGAACCTGGCGGCACCACCCTCGACCACCACCCTAACCTGGCGGCACATTCCTTCAAAGACTCATTCAGAAGCATCTCATTTTCCAAATCAATCGATAGTTTAAGTGAATTCAGTAGCTCCCGATTTTCCGATTTCATGGGCACAAATGAGGTACAAAATGGAGAACAGATGAAGAACATGCCTTTGATTCTAAAGAACAAACAGCCAAGGTGGCATGAACAGTTGCAATGTTGGTGTCTAAATTTTAAAGGGAGAGTAACGGTTGCTTCCGTGAAAAACTTCCAGCTCATCGCTGCCACCACCACCACTGCCGCTCCTCCGGTGGTGGTGGATGAGGCAACACCACCACAAACTGCCCAAGCTCAGTCACAATCATCGCATGATAAGGTGATTTTGCAATTTGGTAAAGTTGGAAAGGACATATTTACTATGGATTATCGGTATCCTTTATCTGCCTTTCAAGCTTTCGCCATATGCTTGAGCAGCTTTGATACTAAATTGGCTTGTGAATAATGGAATCATTTGACTTTTCTTCTTGTTATTGAGGGTTAATGCAAAGTGTTTTCATTGATTTGCTTATTATAACACCCTATTTTCATTTCTTCCTACTACAATATTGTACTTTGAAAAATCTTTTAAATTATAGCGGTTTCATCCAAATCCGAAACAAGTTATGCTCCTATAAATTGAGAGCATAATATCATAATTGGGTAGCTTTTTGACTTTTTCAAAGTACAATGACTTAATGCAGAAATAAATGGAAGAGTTGAAAGTAAAGTGGTATAATACAGAAATAAATGGAAATACGTTGCTATATCTTGTATTTAATCAAAAAAACTGCTTAAATGATATAGGAAGAGCTGCTTCTTGTATTTGCAATTAATCAAGAACAGCTTGGTACCTTGATTTGTAATTGTATTTTGATCGTTTAATATATATACTATATTGAAAATATGATATGATACAGTTGTTCAAGTACATAACTCATTTATACCAATAAAGAATGATCTGAAAAAAAAAAACATATTGTACAACCATTTTGGATGAATTTTAACACGAGATCCTGAACTGTATAAACGTCTGCAACGATAGAACAATGCATAACTTTTCCAACAACCGTATTTGGCTTTTTTCTGCAAACAATCCATTGCTTTTGTAAAAAGTTAAGATAAACCATTATAAAAAAAACGTTGATAACAAAAAACCAGAAATGATGGTGGAATGGAAAAGGGGAGACGATAGAATTACTTACCTTAAAGTGATGGTGATGACAGATTGAGAGATGTGAGCACTTTGTATGAAACCTTGTGTTAATGGAAGTGCATGTGTATGGTTTTTGTGTGGGTTTTGCATCTTCAGATTAACATCTTGAAGCTGCATGTCTTTCATGGAGGCATCATATAGATATAGATACAGGAGTATATCTGTGTGCCTCTTCGGTGGCTCTTCCCCATGTCCAACCAATAAAAGCTTCATCATGGAAAAGTTGAATATATATATATATATATATATATATATATATATATATATATATATATATATATATATATATATATATATATATATATATATAATAATAAAGAGAGAGAAAGAGTTGGGTGGGGTACGCACCTTTCACTTTCTTTTGAAGTACTTATCTTGTGTGGGTGGATTGCAATACTATCACTACAGACATTCTGTCCTTTTCAATGGCCGGCAAAGACCCAACTCCCACCATCCGGGTTTTCTGTGGGTTTTCTTCAAAACCAACCATCTCTCAACACCAGGTTTTAACTCAACTCTACACTGCCATGAAGTTTAGTAGTTTACCAATACCTTGGACGAAGGTAACACACAAACTCTTTTAACTTGTTTAATGTTTCAATCTAACATGACATATTGTGAAATTTGATAGAAAAGAATTATGGAAGAGTTATGCTATTTTCATTCATCAGAAAAAAAAAATACAATTGTGTATATAATAAGCTAAAGATAATGAGTAATTTGAAAAAGAGATGAACACATATCTAAACAATATGAATATGAAGATAAGTGAGATAAACACATATCTAAACAATATGAACATGAAGATAAGTACTCCAATACTCATTCTTAAGTTGGACTGTGCAGATTGCAAACACCCAACTTGCCATGTAAGTAATGAAATTGTTTTGCTCCAAGAGCCTTGGTAAAGATATCAACCAGTTGTTTTTCCGTCTTTATCGCAACGACCTTGATCTCACCACTTATAACTCGTTCTCGAACAAAGTAGCAATCCATTTCAACATGCTTAATACGTTCATGATAGACTGGGTTAGCTGCAATATATCGAGCAACATTATTATCACACATCAAAGTGGTGGCACCACCATGCATTGTACCAAGATCACACGAAAGCCAACGCAGCCATAGAATCTCACAAACAGTGTTCGCCATAGCTTTATACTCAGCTGACGACCTAGCTACTACACTCTGCTTCTTTGTTCTCCACGAGACAGGAGAACCTCCAATATCAATGAAATAACCCCTACATGATCTTCTAGTTGAATGACAACTAAGCCAAATTGCATCACAATAGACAATAAGAGTCAGGTCTCCCTCAAATGATAAAAATAACTCTTGTCCTACAGTGGTCTTCAAATATCGAAGAACTCTAAAAGCTGCATCCATGTGGGACCGTCTAGGCTTTGCTTATATACCAATTCAGTTGGTTAACACTGAAAGCAATATCAGGCCTGGTAACCATGAGATAGAGTAAACAACCAATCAATCTTCTATGTTTTGATTCATCAACTTCTGGTATATCATCTTCTTTCATCAGTCGAAGATTTTGTTCCATGGGGAAGTCACTAGGCCGACAATCTTGAATATGACAATCTTAAAGAATGTCTAAAGTGTATTTTCTTTGGCTGATCATAAAACCCTTTGAAGACCTAGCAACTTCAATTCCCAAGAAATACTTGAGTGGGCCCAAATCTTTTATGTTGAACTAATTTTGCAAGTTAATATTCACTTGATCAATCTTATGAGCATCATTTCCCCATAAGAAGGACATCATCGACATAGATGAGGGCAATGACATGTAACATTCCATTTTTGAAAACGAACATAGAATGATCAACCTTTGATTGTTGGAAACTATCGTTAATAAGGGCCTTGGTAAATTTTGATACCAATTCCTTAAGGCTTGTTTTAAACCATAAATGGACTTTTGTAACTTACAAACACGATCTTCTTCCTTTTTTGAAAATCCTTGTGGCACTTTCATGTAGACTTCTTATTCTAAGTCACCATGTAAAAATGCGTTGTTAACATCAAGTTAGTGAACTTCCCACTGTTTCTTAGCTGCAATGGCTAAGACACATCTTACAGTAACAAGTTTTGCCATCGGAGCAAAGGTCTCGTGAAAATCAATGCCTTCGATCGGGGTATATCCTTTGGCCACAAGACGAACTTTAAATCTTTCTATCTCTCCATTGGGTTTATATTTAATCTTATAAACCCACTTTGAATCGATACCATTCTTCCCTTTTAGAAGATGTGTTAAGACCCAAGTGTTGTTTTCTTCCAAGGCCTCAATTTCCTTCTTCATTGCTTCTATCCATCTAGGATCCTTCGTTTCCTGTGAAAAATACTTTGGTTCGTTGTTCATTGAGATGGTAGTCAGAAAAGCATGGTGTGATTTGGAGAACTTCTCATAGCTCACATATTGCGAGATGGGAAAAGGCCTCAAAGTCTTTCTAGAAGCCACATGTGTCTTCGCTGTAAGATCGAGGGAAGCAGGTAGATCAGTAACAAAACCATCAAACTATTTTGACATGGTTCTATGGAGAGTACTTTGACGTAAACCCTCGTTATGGTGACGATCAGCTGGTGGTTCGTTTCCTGGTGGAGTTTCTCCAGTTTCGCCCCTATCATTTGGTGTTACTTCTGATTGAGAGCGATTGTTGTTGGTCTCAATGTTATTTTCCCTTGGTTCTTTGCTAGTTTGAACCCGTGGAACAAAATTTTCAACAAAAACTTTTGCACTAGTCATGGCATCAACAAAAAGTTTTATCGTTAGTATTTGCATTATTATTGTAATTTTCTCCAAAAGGAAAACTGTTTTCAACAAAGGTTACATCACGCGAGTTATACATTCTATGATTGTTACACCCCCGAACCAGACGTCGGAAACGTCTGGGGGATCGCGTGACTTAAATTGAATATCATCACAATGATTATACATGAAACACAACATAAACTTCACCATGCATTAATACATAACGACCGACATTGTTCACATCCAGTACATTGTTTAAATATTACATATCCATAACATCAATTGTTTGAGAGTTTTCAAAACATAACATTCTAACATACTTATTACCCTGCAGCTTACCTGTTACCTAAGAATACAAGTTATTTTGAAAAACGTCAACATATGAAATGTTGGTGAGTTCATAAGCAGGGTTGTGATAAAAATGATTTGTATAATTTATAAAACCCAGAAAATCCGATATTTTCTGAAAAGACAGTTGTTTACCAAAGTGTGAAGATCCATAAGTTGATGCATGAATGATTTCAAAACGTGTATAAATGGGAAGTTTTGTATTATAGTTATAGAAAAATACAAGTGAGTGGTGCTGATTTCCTCGAAAAACCCGATGTTTTCCGATAACTTAAAATATAATTGTTGTCAGATTGTTATACCGCCACACAAGTGGTTTTGATTACTTTTCCTTGATTACTCGGATAGTATTGGATTTATTTAATTATGTGAGTCGTTATAGCCATGCATAATAATGACTAGTTCGTCTGTCTTGGCATCCTAATGTACGCCGGAATTGATCTTAAGATTTTGTCACCCTAGACTGGCCGAGTCTAACTGTAGCGAACAGCTGAGGTGTGGGGAGTCACCCCCGTATAGATCTATACACAAACTCTCGCTCTCCTTCAATGAGACTTTGATTATAACTACAGACTACGAACGACCCTTAGAGGTGTCGCCCGTTATTACTCACTTAATCCAAACAAAATTGATTACTGTGATTTACGACCTGGATTTGTTTACTTTGATTTCAAATAAGCCTAACAAACGAGAAGAAGAGGAATACGAAGTCCTGCTAATTACGTGAGTTATTTTAGGTTGTTGGTTATACGAAGGACGCGTTGGCTCATTTCATATTTGATTAAATTGGGACCTTACTAGCCATTGAGGGTCCCTTAAACATGTAATTGGGTCCCTTAAACATGTAATTGGGTCACAAGAGGCCCAATAGACATGTGTCATTATTGTTGAACCCAAAAGTCACGGTAATGGGTCACGAAGGCCCATTAAGCATGATTAAGATCTTTCAAGTCCAACTATTTGAATATTTACTTGTTTTAGGTATAATATAATGGTCGAAAGTTTGATTGAAAAATTGTTAAATTCTCAACGGCACGAAACTTGTCGGTTGTTTATAACGATATTTGAAAATATATGTATATTTTTCATTCTATTTTCATAAGTTGTAATTTGGTATTCTTTTTAACCCAAATATTTTAAAACCAAAATAATTGACTCAAAATATTGATTTGACCCATTCAACCCTTTCTTTAATAAAAATGACAATTTTAGTCCCTTACATAAAGAAAAAGACATTTTAGGCCCTTAACTCATTTTCTTGACATTTTTGACCCATAGACTTGTTTAAATAAAGGTTTTTAGCCCAAAATTTACTCTTTGACAGTTTCAGCCCTTCCAGCAAAGAGTTTTTCGGTTAAAGTCCAACTTTTTCGCAACTTTTACAATTTTGGCCCAATTTCCAAAAACTTTACATTTTTGATCCTTTTTGGAAAAGAAAAGTATTTTAACCCTTGAAATAGTTTTGTTTACTCCTTTTTCCCCCTGTTTTTAGAATTGTACCATTTCAGTCCCTTGAAAATCATAATTTCACAATTTTTGGGCCTATGGGCCGAAAAGCCCAAAAATTAGCCCATTAAGCTACAAATTACCTTTCTAGTCCTTTAAAGAGTATAATATTCATAAAAACATTTATTTTTACTGTATTGACTCTTTTGGTCCTTAAGAAAATCGTGAATGACAATTTTAAACCCAACTTTTGTTTATTTGACAATTATAGCCCAAAAAAATGGGTTTTATGTTGCAATATGTTTATTACAATCTTAGAGGGTAATTTTCTTGACTTTTTTAGTGTAGTATATCTTAGATTATGTTTGTTTTCCTTCTTGTTCCATGGATCTCGAAATTTCTTTCCTTTTTGTTACATATTTACCACATAAACACATAAAATTACACATACATGCATGAAATCACACATAACATACACATAGACATAGATCTACACATTTTACTTGTATTCTCCCCCATAAAACTTGTAAAAACCGAAAATAGAGGGATATGAACTCACCTTTGCTTGTTGTTTTTGATTTGAAGAAGAAATAGAAGAAGTTTGATGCTATTCTCGGCCCTAGAAAGCTTCTTGAGAAGACTTTGGCTTAGATAGGTTCTAAGA